AGCTCGCAAAAGAAAAAAAAGAAAAAAACACCCCCCCACCCCCCCCAAATTACAGGGTCTCCTTTTGCTCGACACCGGCAATGGGTGTCTGCCAAGAAGGCCGGTTCCTAGTGAACAATTCGACCAACGGCTTTGCGTCCTCCAGGGCGCTGGCGTGATCGAAAGTGCCGACCTTGAGGATCTTGGAACCAGTATAGGTCTCAGTCTCCCGCCAGAGCGTTGTGCCGCAGTCGCCGCAGAAGAAGGATGTGATGGTCTTGCCACTGTTTGCCGTCTTGGCGAACTCCTTGGGCGTGCCCTTGGTCAAGGTGAATCCCTCGGCGGGAACGAGGATGTTGGTAGAGAATGTGGAGCCTGTGGTCTTGCGGCAGTCAAGACAGTAGCAGAGGGCCTGTGTGTCCTTTCAGCAGCTGGTTTTTTTTTTTCGAAAGAGCACGATTCACGAGTTTCGTCCCAGATCCCGATTCCCCCCTTTCTCAATGTAGGTACGAACCTTGGCCTGGGCCTCCCCCGTGGACTGGATACGCACGGCACCGCAAATGCAGCCACCTTCGATCATGATGGGATATCGAATTTTACAGGAGGGTTTGATTGGTTTTAGAGGCGAAGAAGAAGGATTGAATCGCGGTACCGTGATGGTCAGGATGAATGGCGTGGTTGTGGAACTTGTGGTTGTCAGGGCCTTGTCGGTGTCCTGCTAAAGCTCAGACCAGCCTCTTTATAACCCCCCGCTTGCCCCTCACCCCCTCCCCCCCCCTCCCGTTGACCCCTTGACGTTCCTTGACTTGTTCGTGTTCATCCTCTCAATCTGGCTCGGTCGATTTGTCAGCCGCCTTGGCAGCCCTAGGAGATTTGATTTGCGATAGTGTACAACGGTAAAACGGTAAAACGGGCAAAAGACAAAGTCTTAGCCTGCTGCCTGACGATCAGCATTGCCAAATTGGGACCAACTGTTGGCAATCATCTGGGGATATGTACGTGTATGACATCCATTGCCACCCTCTACGTACATGTAGGTAACCTACGGTTGGCTCTAGATATTACCTAGATCATAGATAGGATGTGCGATAAAAACTTGCGCCCGTTGAGATTTATTAATCGACATACTTCGGCAGATGTGCCGCATTGCTCAGGTACCGTAGTTAAATATTTCATCATTCCCCCATAACAGTTTTTGTTTTCCTAGTTTGAAAGGTTTCGTTCCGCGAAGCACACCGGCAAAATGCAAGAGGTTGGTGCCTTTTTTTTTGGGAATTTCCGCCGCATCGCACTCCGCATCCTCGAGACCTCGTCGTATCTAGTTGCGTGCTCCACGAACAGTCTCGCGCATTCGACGGCAATCTCCACATCGAGGATCTGAGCAGACAAGCCGTACGCAAAGGGCGCAGAGCTAGGTTGAGCTAGTCTCCGGCCTAGGAGTCAAGAGTCCTCACGACAGGCATACCCCAGTCGTGCATCTCTGCAGTGGCCAGCGTGGCTCAAACGAAGCATCGAACTTCCCGCCCGAAGATCCTCCGATTCCACTCCCGAAGCCTTTCGGGCACGAGGTAACCGCCACTTCCCAGGTCCCTTTCGCGATACGAAAGTATAGGCTGGTCGGACTCTGCGATGTGCGAATAAAATGATCATCACGATGATATGCCCGATCGATATGTTACAGCGGAAAATGCCTCAACCCCCCCCCCCCCCCCCCCCCCCCCCCCCCCCCCCCCCCCCCAAACCACCCTGTGCCGGCGTGTCAGGGTTCGGGGTGGAAAAGATACTGGTTCAAAAAAATGTTTTTTTGCCCTCCGATGCTGCAGAGAAGGGAACTAGGAACGAAACCTTCCGATCGACGACCATGCCAGGGAAGAGAACTTGGTTGCGAAGCTAGGGGCAGGGGCAGGGGCAGGGGCCAAAGCGGCGTGCAAATCATCCGCCTACGGTGATGTCCTACCTGATCTATGAATCTGTGATCCTACGGAGTACAGTTGTACAGTCCGGTCCTCGATGTGTCGACTGCGGGGCAAGTCCCTTCCTTCAATAGGGCCACGGGTCCGTGCTCGGGTAATCACGACTTTGAGTTTACGCAATGTGGACTATGCGGACCCTGCCGAATTATACCTGGACCCGAGCTTCTCACTCAACGGTTGCGCAGGTTCTGTTCTTAGGCAGGACGCTCTCCACGATGCCCCCGTATTAGGTAAAACAATCGATATTTCAAGCACGAAGAGTCTAGAACCTGGGCCTAAAAAGAAGGGGCTAAAAAAATACTTCTCTGCATAGAATATTACAAAGCGAAGTGAATTGTCCGACTTCGGTGAACAGGACGGGCTAGAGACTAGTCAACTACCGAGAACAAAAAAAAGGCGAACCAAAAATCAACAACAACAAGAGGGAGAAAGAAGAAAATTGCGCCATTAGGTGCCTCGCTTAGCATATCAAACCTGGTAGGGTCCTCTGCGACCCATGCGAAGCCGACGTGCAGAACCAGTTGAGTTGTGACATCAAGTTGGAGACACAGCCACTTCAGCCAAATCCAACAGGGGAAAATAGATTAAGAATGCACATCAGCGGACACTGAAACGAAAGCCAAGTAGGAATCGTCATTTCAGAAACGTGTTATCCTTCTCATTTTCCACGGAGATAGTAAAACCGCAGGAATACGAGCGGCAGTAGAACGGTTACAAGTTCATTTCCAGGTCACACGTACAACGTACATCCCAGGCCGGCCGCTAAACAAAGCCGTGACGGGAACTTCCCATGTGCGTCGGTCTTCCGAGGAAATGCAAGAGAATCGCATTAAAATGACTAACTATGTGTGCCGAGCTCAGGGGAACCGAGTACCGGTCCCGCGTTCTATCTACTTATATTAGGGCACCTGGGAAACCTACCTATTTTCGGGTGGTGGAGTTATAGTGGATTTTTAATCCAGAAAGAGTTTGAGTCGACCCGGACCGAATAGGGGGGGCAGAGGACCGGCACTCAGGGGAACCCGCACTGCAATCTCAGCGGAGCAGGGGGAAGCAGGGGGATAGCGGGTCGTTGAACATACACGTGTAAGACTTCATACCGGATCCTGTCGGCAAGGGATACCGTTAGACACCCGACAATCCTACGGAGCACCCCTGCCGTTCTTTTACGTAACGTGCCGCGTTTTAGCGTTGAACCCCCCCTTGTCGACTGCGCCATGACCTAACTATGGTCAGAAACGGAACCGCGCCGATCAGCGCTTGAACGTTAGCGCCGATCGTGCCGTGTCCCCCATATGACGATAGAGTACCTAGGTGTCCCACCGGCATAGCACAGGGTCCACATCCGACCTCAAAAGTATGGTTGGGGGGGATGTATTGTCGCACTGAAAACACGTGAGCCTGTTTTCTGTGTTTCTATTAGCTGGACTAGCCCTATATTCCTCGCGTGGAAAAGGGGTAGATGTATTTAGAACACCCATACCTTCCTGTTCTTCTTTCCTTTATAGAAGGAATATAATTATATATCTATTAAATCTCTGCTCTGGCCGGATCACACGCCCGTTAATCTAATAGTTATAAGCCCGGGTAGTAGCAGTAACTAGTAACTTCCTGCTGATCTATTATCTACGTTTATCTATTTTGCTTGTGCTTCCGTGGCTAATTAAGGAGTATCTACCCTACTCTCTCGCTTAGAAAAGCCCTTATTCGCTAAACCCCTGCTATAAACTATATCTACGAAGCTTAAAGTCAACGCCGAAGCGCTTAGTATACCGCGGCTAGAGTCTACTAGGTAATAGGCCGATTAGATCTTCTATATTAAGTTATATACGTAGGGTATAGAGGTTTAGGCCTTACTCGACCCTAATAGGCCGGAGTAGCTAGACGACTAACCCAAGTACGTTATACTTATATCTATCGATTAGCTACGCGAAAAACACACCCAGGTTATTAACGGGGTGCTAACCCCTTCTACTATATCGGAATTAATCAAGCTAGCTAAGCTAGAAGGCTATAAGGTTACGGCACGTTATTAAAAGCTCGCCTGATCGATTAAGGCGCTTAATAAAGCTAATTATATACTTAAAGCGATTATCGAAACCTCTGCCTATTAATAAGCCGTCGAGGAAGCTATTAAGAAGTACCCTAGCTACGAAAAGGGGAAATAAAACTATTACTTCACGATACGATAAGTGATAAAGGAATTATAGAAATACTTCGCTCCTAGCGTACTATTCTTAGCTAAGGAGGTTCGTTAAGTATACGATAAGCACCTTTAGGATACCCGAAGAGCTAACACGAAGGTGGTAGCGTGGTATACGGAGTGGAATACTCTCGTCCGGCGCTATCGTTAGTATAAAGTTAACGACGTTAAGGGTTCTATAGCTATCCGTAACTTCCTTATCGTAGTTAGGCAGCGTTTTACCCCGGCTTAGGCAGAGGCTAAGTTCCACGAACTAATCCGTAAGGAGAATAAGGACGAAGTAATTAACGATATCCTAATATACGGCCGCGAATTTAACGCGATTATAAGCGTTCCTGGCCTTAATAGAACTAGGCACGGCGTTTACGCTACCTTAGGCGACCGCTCCGATAAAGACGACGATAGTGGTGGAAAAGGGAAGAAAGGTAAGGGTAAGGGGTATAAATACCCCTATAATAGGACCTATTCGTAGAAGCCGGAGCTCTATAATAGAGTGGAGTATACTCTTATAGGCAAATATAAGTAGTAGCTATCCGTGTAGATAAGCGATAATTATATCGAATAAATCCGGAAAAAGCTATAGTAATAAAAGTGGAAAAGTCTACAAGAAACCCTATTAAAGAAGGGATAGGGAAGCGCCGGTAAGAGTAGCGATAAAGGTGACGGATACCCCTTAAAGGGTATTATAACTATCTTAGACCTAACCCTTATTTACGATATAGGGAAAGTTCCCGGTATCTACGCGGCGCTACGATCTAGCGCCTACCCGCTCTTATATAGCACTCTTTTAGATAACTACGGCGCGATACACTTAGTTAATTTAATCGACCTACTCGTTCCCGGATCTTTTATTCCGATAAACGGCACTATTAAATCTGGCACCACGGAATTCCCTATCATTGGTAAAGGTAAACGGATCTTTAAAGGCCTTCTTAATAGACTATTAGGTGCTCCGAAAGTCGATTTAGAGCTTAATAACGTTATCGTGGTGGAGGGATTTCACACAAATATTATCTCGGAAACTCTATTATATAAGGTTAGGATCTAGTATTCGGGATATAACTACTCACTACGATACGAAACGGCGGATAAGAGCGTGGTTTTATTAAAGCTATTATAACGCTTTAATATAACTATTCTTTAGTATAAGCTAATTTTATCCTCTTCTTCTTTTTACCCGTATATTTAATTAATACTATAAGGCGTGATTTCTATAAGCTACGATTATATCTATATACTAGTGGCAGCTATCGATTAACCGATAAGAGCACCGCTTCCGAAGCTATTTCGACTATCTCGAGATTCCCCTTATCCACGTGTTAACGAAGAGAGGCTATAGCACCTAAGGGCCGGCCACCTACGACTAAAAGCTCTCCGAGCACTAATTTATAACGCTAGGAACGTGCTAATATAAGGTACTAAGCGGATTAAGTGTAAGACCTATACTCGAATATAGGTTTATCAGGTCGTGTCTCGTCGACTATTAGATCACTGCTCGCCTAGGCCGTTCTAGTGTATTTAT